GGGTTAGCCAAGGCTGCGCGCGTACTCTTCAAATTTCACTTTGACGCTCTGAAGAAAATCAAACAAGGCCAAGGTGGGCAGCTGCATCCACAAGATCCCGATGAGCGCCCCATCGTGAGACATGACCGCTTCGAGAGGAGGGCACAGTGGGCAAGGAGCAAGAGCCGACCTCAACAACAACGGTTATGTAGCGTGGATAGACCAGTGCCACACCCGTTGCCGTCTGTCCCTGCACCATCTCATCTGCCAAGCCTGTAGCCCGGTGCCATTCGCATATCAATGAGGCCTGTAACCACGGCTCAAGGAGAATATTGTGACCACCAAAATAGCCGACACAAACCTTGAACCTGCTCTACTGTGGCTTTGCCAGTCAGCCCTCCAATGAAAAAGACGCGTGACCAGAACCCGCTGCCGGTTTGCAATGCAGAAAAAAACCATGAACCAAGTGCGCCGCCCATCTTGGGTGCGAGCACACGGCGACACGCGCATCCATGCTGTACCCGCGCTGCTTAAAGTTGTGAGTCTTGACAAGGGCATCAACCAGGCTTTCGGGATTTTGCCCCGGCCCACCCATGCCCAACCCCGCCATGATGACAGCGCACAGACGCAGGTGGCGTCCGAGCCGTCCTAGCCGAGAGGATTCCTTGCGCTCTACCAAATTTCAGCGGTCACCAGCACCACCAATCAGAGAAGAAAAGACCCGTCATCAGCACACATCATCAAGCAGAAACACACAAGTGCTTTGCCAACCAACGCCCCCCGAGACCACTCCGCCCACCTCACAGACTGCCGTATCAACCGATCCGCTGCCACCCCCTTGCTCCCTCAAATCACAAAAAAAAAAAAAAAAAAGTGTGTGTGTTGCCAAGGCCTTGGATGCTAAAAATGATGACAAATTGTCAGACAAACACACACACACATGTATCGCTGTCTCTCTCCCTCTCTCTCTCTCTCTCTCTCTTCTCTGTCTCTCTCTCTGTCTCTCTGTCTGTCTCCAGTTTCTTCTCTCGTTGACAAGTTGATCAAAGTCGACTACTACTGCTCCTACTGCTGCTCCTGCTCCTGCTGCTACGACGTTGCGGTGACGGTGGTGCTGTTTCCAGTTGACGGGTGTTGTTTGGTGGCTGATATACCGTTCAAATGGCGGGATTGACGCTCAAGTTTACGCCGTTTAACAGGTGCGGTGCTTTCGATCAAACTGGTGTGAAGCGTGCGCCACTCATGCGGTGCTTGCATGGCCATCCTCTAGTGCAATTGACACGGCTTTTTGGAGCACGCTGTCGCGCGAAAAGCTGGAAAAGCACAAGCTGAGCGAGGATGCAGTCCCCTTGACTGCCTTTACAGAAGTGGGCTCGGCTCTGGCCCAGCCTGCTCGCCTGACCATCACTGATGAAGCCTTTCTCCCGTGCGTTTGCGCTTTGCCCAATCGGTCTCCCCGCCTGGGTACCCAGGCTCCTCGATCTGACCTGGGGGTGTTTCAAATTTCCAGGACCATCCCCGATACGGTCATTGGCAGCCGCCTCTTGGCTCGGTAGGTGCCTGATTCCGCCGAGTTGGCCTCCTTCTTGAATCGACCGAGCTGACTCACTGCCGCGCCGATTCTCGCTTGCCGTGGTCCAGTGGCAAACTGTACAACACCAACACCCTGGACGCTTTTCGCCAAGCAGATCATGCTGCCCTGACACGCACGGCCATGGCTGAGGTGGGCATTTCCCGCTTCTGGTCGGGCCTCCGTCCGTTTGCCCTCGTGACTCATGCTCGCTGCTCTGTCGCCTCTACCTGCAGGTTCTGGCCGCATTCAAGGACGGGACCGTGTGGACCGACCATGCTCGATGCTCGCCGTTTGTACTCCTAACCCACGCCGATTTGAAAAAGTACATCTACCTCCACTGGGCAGCCTTCCCCACCTTCAAACCGCTTGCAGACGTGCCGCTTGCATCACCTCCGGCTCCAATGTCCTCGGAGCGCCTTGATGAGGTCAGCTCACGTGGCCGCTCAGCGTTTACTCTACTGTGTGCGTTGCCTGGGGCTTACTTCGATCTGGCCTTGCTTCAGTTGGAAACAGCTTGGAGTGACATCCAGCAAATTCGCAAGCAGCGCCCCCAGATGCTGTGGTTTGCGCTGCAGCGCCGTGATGGGGCGCTGCACGCTGTGGCCCTGGACGATGCCAAGAAACTCCAGAACCTGGTATGCACGTCTGCACTTTGATCCGTGTTTTCTCTTACCACACTCCAGCGCCCATTTCTACACCCCTGTTTCCCCATCTCCCTCACCCCCTGCCACCCTCGACTCCTCTCAGGAAACAGTAATCATGCTGGACACGAGTTCCTCGGCCTCACACCCAGGCTGGCCTTTGCGCACGTTCCTGGCCCTGCTGGCCTTCAATGGCCTGGCCAGCAAGGTTGGTTTGCCTGCTGAGACGCTAGTGCCACCTTCCTAGACAACGGACTCATCGCAGCTCATTTCGGCACGCCATTCCTTCCTTCACACACACACACACACACACACATCGTTTCCCATTCCATTTTGCAGAAGCTAACACTTCAGTGCCTACGACGTGATGCCGGTGGCCTGCTGTCAGCGAACAGTTTGACACTGGACCTCATCGTACCCGCCTTTGCCTTTGACAACGAAGGTTTGTCTTGCTCGCTCTTACACCCCCAAGGTCCCTGACCCTATATACCTCCGAGCCCCGCTCTGTCCGTCCTTTGTGCACTATCTGACTTTGACCCGCTCCTCGCTTGACCTGTTTTCTTCTCGAAGACGCGCTTCTGGACACTCATATCAAGGGATGGGAGAAAACGGCCAATGGCAAACTGGCGCCACGCAAAGTGAATCTCCAAAGCTCCATGGATCCTCAAATGTGAATACCAGATGGCATTGTCTCTTTGCGTGCGGGCCCTCCCTTCCATGTGATGATGGGCCCTGACCCCGACTTTTTTTGTCTCCATGACAGGTTGGCCGCCTCAGCTGTTGATTTGAACCTCAAGTTGATGCGTTGGCGCCTCGTACCGGAGATTGATCTGGAAAGCGTGGCCAACTGCAAGTGTCTCCTGCTCGGGGCCGGCACCCTCGGCTGCAACGT